CCCAAGTCTTTGATCTCAAACTCAGAAGCCAAGAACTCCTTTAATCTTTTTATCTCTTCCAGATCATCCCCAGTAATCACCATATCATCCACATAGACAATGAGTGCTCTAAGTTTGCTATTTTGTTTCCTTAGGAACAAGGTATGATCTGCCCCACTTTGAGTGTACCCCACTTTCTTCATTGCCCCACAAAGCTTTTGAAACCAAGCCCGAGGAGATTGCTTAAAACCATATAATGATTTTCACAGTTTACACACTTTCCTATCAAAAACATAACCTGGTGGAGGATCCATGAATACCTCTTCATGTAGATTGTGCTACTACTCTTAGATGTAGCATGGTTAGCCCAAGTGTTGGGTGGACCACACAAATCATAACAGAAATTAACTGTGTGCCCCTCTAAGCCACAATGTGTACATTTTCTTTGAGCATTACTCCTTCATTTTCCACGGCCTCCCCCTAACTCTCGGCCTCTAGTCCGGCCACTAGCCCGGTTAAACATGTGTCCACCACGGTTTCTTGGAGGGCCACTGCTGCCACCACCACTTCTACTTCCACGGCCACTCCCTTTAGTCACTACCAAACCAAATCTATCAGAGAAGGAAGAATGTTCCACCGGCTCAATGGATGTCCTCTTAAGACGGGCAAAAACTTCTTCAAGTGAGGGGAGAGCTGATCCCCCCAATATTTGTGCTCTGACAGGCTCATACTCAGCCTTCAAGCCCACAAGGAACCTAGTCACATCAAGCTGTTCACGTTGCTGTTGTTGGATCTGGACATTTGATGTTAGAGGGTGATACACATTTAGCTCATTGCGGTTGTTCCTCAAACTTGCATAATACTCTTCTAAGCTTTGACTTCCTTGCTTCAAATTGAAGTACTCTTGGTATAACTGATATACCCTAGTTGGTATAGATATGTCAGCCACCACAACACAACCATCACCACACCACTGTTGTCGTGGACATCAGCAGTCTACTACTCTTCTTTCAGCACACATGCGAGCAAGAAAACAACGGAACATGACTGATATGTGTATCAGTTTCACCCAGCACCACAACAACTAACTTTTGAAGCACAAAAAATTAGCATTCACAGTCCATTTCTGAACACACGACAGCAGTGTCCATACCTGTATACGTCCAGCCTCTTCGTACACTGAATAGAGGGTCTAGTATACCACTTCAACGACCACCACAGCACCGGCCAGAGGCATTCTCACCTCCAGGCCCTCAAAACGGCAACTCCTTTTCAGCCCTTTATTGAGTCTTCAATCAGGTCAGTTGTAGGATGATGAAACCTACTGTGAAGCTAGCGGCGAACCCAGGAAGAAGACAACAGCAAGAAAACACGAGACCTTATTGCTTTGATACCATGTGAATAAACCCTAGTTGATTCTAGGTCAAAGTAGAGAAGAAGAAAGAAGAAAGAAAAGAGAAAGAAGAAGAAGAGTGTTCGGCCAGACTAGAAGAGAGAATGTGAAAAAATCACTCTCCTAGCCGACCCACTTGAATTTTATTCATAAAACTTAGAGTTACAAGAAAGACAATTTTGTCCCTCATAGAAGATGGGACACATAACTTAAACTCAGATACAATTTCACTTTCAAGACGATACACCAGAATGACCAAAATACCCTTGACTCGAGCATTCTAACAATAGTCATCAAAGACATAAGTTTGAGCCTAAAACACACAAATGTGTCTTTTTGGGATATGCCTCCACACAGAAGGGATATTGTTGTTTTGATCCAGTTCGTGGCACTCGCTTTGTTTCCAGAGATGTCACATTTGCAGAGTCAGTTCCTTTCTTTGGCACTTCTCCTGAGGGGGGGCATTCAGAGGGGTTGTTTACATTGTCACCATCTGCTCCTCTTCCAATTCCCATTAAATCTTCTATGGAGTCTCCTCCAATCGAGTCCTCTATTGGCTTTTCTTCTCATGTTCCTGCTCCCCCTCCTTCTGTTGCTCATCCTCCCACATTTCCTTCCCATCCTATTATCCAAAGGTGGTACTAGAGACAAAGACTCAGAGACTTGCAAGTTGTTTCCACGTCTTCAGATGTGTCTCTTGCTCCTCCCATCGCTACTGAGGTAATAGGTCAGCCCTCTTCTATTATTTTGGATACGTTCCCTGACCTTGATCTCCTTATTGCCCTTCGCAAAGGCAAACGGAAATGTACAACTCATTGCATTTCCAAACACATGTCCTACAACCTTCTTTCCCCTTCCTACTATTCCTTCCTTGCCTCTGTTTCCACATATGTAACTCCCAGATCTGTTCCAGAAGCCTTGTCCAAATTAGAATGGAGGGATGCTATGATGACTAAACTAGATGCTTTGCATAAGAACAATACCTGGGAAATTGTGGATTTGCCTGACGAAAAGGAACCGGTTGGCTATAAGTGGGTGTTCACTATTAAGTATCATTCTGATGGTATTGTTAAGAGATATAAGGCCCATTTGGTTGCTAAAGGGTATACTCAGATGTATGGTATTGACTACCCGGAAACTTTTGCCTTAGTAGCCAAGATGATTTCAGTTCGAGTTTTGCTATCTTTAGCTACTACTTTTGATTGGCCTCTTCATCAGTTTGATGTAAAGAATGCTTTCTTGAACGGGGACCTACATGAAGAGGTCTATATGTCTTTACTTCCAGGGGTGTATGGGAAGGAGATGCAAGGAAAGGTCTGTAAAATGAAGAAGTCCTTTTATGGCCTTAAACAATCTCCTTGTGCCTGGTTTGATAGATTTTGGGCTGCTCTTGTTGCTTTTGGGTACACACAGACTCAGTCGGAACATACCTTGTTTGTTAAGAGGAGAGATTCCATAGTGACCCTTCTAATTGTCTGTGTTGATGATATTGTGGTTACTGGTAATGACACCCAAGAAGTTGTTCACCTCAAAAGTTTTCTTAACACTGAGTTTGAAGTTAAAGACTTGGGGGAATTCAGATATTTCTTGGGAATTGAAGTTGCCAGATCTAAGGATGGTCTCTTCATTTATCAACGGAAGTATGTTCTTGATCTTCTTGCAGATATTGGTAAATTGGGTGCTCGACTTGCTTCTACTCCTATAGACCTAAATCATAGGTTGTCAGCTACTGAGGGTGAACTATTGCCTGATAAGGGAGTGTTCCAGAGACTAGTTGGGAACTTATTATACCTTTGTATGACTCGGCCAGATATTTTCCTATGCAGTTAGTCTAATTAGCCAGTTTATGCATTCTCCTAGAGATACACATTTAGCAGTTGTTGAGAGGGTTCTGTGCTACCTAAAGGGACTCCAGGGAAAGGTATCTTGTTTGCTAAGCATGGACACATGAAGCTAGAAGCATACACTGATGTTGATTGGGCCGGATGTATTGATGATAGGAGGTCCACTTCAGGTTATTGTGCTATGGTAGTAGGGAACATTGTATCATGGAGGAGTAAGAATCAGTCTGTAGTGGCAAGATCCTCAGTTGAAGCGGAGTACAGGGCAATGGCACATGGAGTTTCTGAACTTTTGTGGTTGAGATCACTTTTAGAAGAACTGGGTATAGATTGTGAGAAGCCAATGATGTTATATTGTGACAACCAGGCTGCTATCAACATTGCACATAATCCTGTTCAACATGACAGAACTAAGCACATTGAAGTTGACAGGCATTTTATACGAGAGAGAAAGCTGGTTCACTTTATAAGCAAGTTGGGCATGATTGATATCTATGCTCAGCTTGAGGGGGAGTGTAGAGAGACTGTGCCGAATGGACCCTAGTCCTTTAGTGTCATTCTTATTAGTTTCTTCTTGTTATGTTTTCTTATTGGGCCTTCTTTCTTTATGGGCCTTTGGCTTCTGTTTTGTTTTTAAGTGTTTTTGCTGATGTGGATGCCTACTTAAGGGCCTCCTTGTAAATTATGTAACTTAAGTAAGTTTAATAAAAAGATTAGAGTAGGGTAAAGAGAAGATTATTGAACTCCTCCTTTCTTTCTCCTTTCTTCATTTTTCCTTCTTCTTCTTGCTGTCTTCGTCTTCTTCCTTCCATCTTTCTGCTCTAATCTAAATATTTCTGTTAATTTTATTGGTCTAAATCACATCTCCTTGCACAATTGAAGGATTAAGAAAAAGTAAAAGGGAAAAGAAGAGAAAAAGAACTTATGAGCAAAAACAATAGGGTTTTAAACCTTTCATTCACATTTTATATGATAAGATAAATATTCATGTACCCCTATCATAATAATATAAAATTACTGCACAGTACCCTTTAACACATTGGTGACCAAATATAATTGCTTTTCAATAAATACATAAGCAGTAAGTTATCTCAGCTTGAATCATTCTTTGCGTCTTTACTTTGTTTATTTCTATATTGTGATTGAACTCTACATTTTCTCCACACTTTTACATACACTTTATACTAATTATGTGTTAGATCTCTATATTGAACTTGTTTGTCCTTCTCTAAAACTCTTCTTTCTTTCTTGTTAATTGTGGTAGATATACTCTTAACATGGTATCGGAGCAGTGATCCACTCTTTGTTTCTTATCTAGGCCTTTGTTTCACGTGAAAATGGAAAAAGTTTTTCTACTGTATTGTGCCCAAAGAACCCAGAATTGCAGATGTAAGCCTCTACTTTTTGTTATTACTTGTCAGGACTTTGGCATCGTGTTAATCAAAAACTGATATGGTTTGGGGGGAAACTTAAGATGGTTTGCTCTGGGGTGGTCTGATAAAAGCTGAGGTGGCCAAACTGAATGATCTACTGGCTGTATTTCAATAGATAAAATAACTACTAGTAAATATTTGAGATGTAGTTATCTCACCAACTTGAATTTTGTAGAGAACACTGATGTGGACCCACAGCTGTGGTCCCCACTGTGTTCGTAGGACAGTATGTGCAATTATTTGTTTCAGTCATGTTAGTGTTAGTTGGTGGTCAGCATGTTATTTCAGTTGTTATTTATTTCAGTTTGTTATTTGCTTTATTTGTCATGTAAGTATTAAGGGCAGATCTGTCCTTTCCTCTATGTA